ACACACACACACACACACATTGGGTTGTCGGAAAAGTCATGACACATTTTTACAACGAAAAACAAAAAATACATCATAAAATTTCATTCTGAATAAATAATAAGCATGCTTACATGTTATTTTCATCATTTTCAATTTAAATAAATAAATGCCATACACTCATCTAGTAGATGCATTGCGCCCAAACTCATAACTTTTGCATTGCGCCCGATGGAGGGATATACTATATATATATACATGTATATAGTATGTATATATACTATATATATATGTGTGTATGTGTGTGTGTGTGTGTGTGTGTGTGTGTATCTATAAATATAGATACTTTATCTGCTTCCAGTTTATTTTGCTTTCTTCACTTCCTTGCAAACAGATAGTGGTCTGTGCAAATGTAGGACTTGAGATCAAGTATGTCTGTATACAAAGGTTGAAAATGACCATCTCCTTGTGTTTTGTGGTAGCCTGAGGGTAAAAGGGAATATGACTAACAATAGCTCTGGCATAATACTACTGCATGTTTGAGGTCCTGAGGAATGGAAGGGCTGCACAATTAATAATAATATTATTTTATGGTTCTATTTTTGTTACTTGTCATTGCATTGACTGAACTAATTCCAATATAACATTCTCAAACTTGAGTTGATAATGAAATCTGAAATGTGTGACTGGTTAAGGCAAGGAGAAAAATGAACTCATATTTACTGAAATGCTGAATTTTTTTATTCATAGCTTTGGCATTTCCGGGTCATGTGGCTGCCTTTAAGGGTGATTTGGAAATGCTTAAGAAATTATTAGAAGATGGAGTAATCAATATTAATGAACGTGATAATAATGGATCAACTCCTATGCATAAAGGTGAGTTATGATTCCTGCTTCAGTTCTGACACGATTGCTGTTGAGTTATTTACCTTTTAAAATAATTATCTATCAGAAACACATGAAAATGTATGGTATATAGAGTGCTTAATTTTCAGTTCAAGTGTGGTATTCCTTTTATGATGTTAGGCATTTACACATTATCACATTTGAGGGTAATTCCAGTAGAAAATCTCTTTTGACATTGTCATGTAGTTAAGATGTAAAATTCGTTGCTAGAGCAGTTTCTTAGGACTAACATTATCTTTGGACTAAAAGCGACCTATTAATTTATGATAAAACCGAAACCATATATCTTGAAAAAGGTCTGGCAGAATATTCTTCTTTCTTATAACTCTGCAAAAATGTTTTTACTTCCATAGACTTATCAGTGAACATAATATGAGCACATTTTCAAGATGTCTGCAATTTTGCTCTGCACTCTCCTTCCTTCTAGTGGAATCCTAAAATATTAATCGGTTTTTTTGTTGTTGTTTTCTAATCAGACTTTGTCACATTGTCAATGCAGTGTCAAGAGTATATACTCTAGGATTTATTCTTGCCAATCTTTTATGTAAAAAATCAAAAACCAAATCTTTAACGTACTGCACCTGAAATTTTTATTCTGTTTCATTTGTGATATTATAAGTTTCTTTATAATCTGCTGGTAGGTAATTCTTATAAAAAAGTCTTAGAGTAAAAATACAGTAGTCATGTTAATATAGTCATGTGTTTGAATTGGACATTATTTCATAAATAACTTCTGGCAGTCCCAGTACAGATTATGTTCTTGTTNTTTTTAAAAGACTATTTTATAAAATTTCACTAGTGTGTTATTAGCTTTTATGTTCAAATCAGTGGTTGCAGTACATTTTTCTATTATATTTAGTATTTGCCTTATAGTTTTAAGAATGACCTCCAATTCTCATTTGCAGAATTAAGCTGCTAGACTTAGTATTTACCCTACAAAATGGAAAGAAACTGAGTCCTTGTGATGTTACCTCTAGGATCCCAGTGTGACTGATAAGAGGGAATGGAAACCTGTACATTATGCAGCATTTCATGGACGGCTTGGCTGTTTGCAACTTTTAGTTAAATGGGGATGTGGCATAGAAGATGTGGACTACAATGGAAACCTTCCAGGTATTCACAAAAGCAAATATTTTGGTTTTTCATTAATATAAACTCTTAAAATGTTAAACATGTTTAAGAAATTTAAACCATCATCATTCTAATAGCCCCTCACAAAACTTAAGTTTGACACGAACACTTTTATCTTATATTATGCCTACATTATGTACCTGTCATGTGATTGATTTTTCTTCTGGAACTATATCAGCAAAAGAAATGAGCAGTAAATTTGGATTTGCTTTTCCAGCCATCTGTTTCCCTCATCTACTGTCTAGTGTTATTATTTTTAAAATTCATACATCTCTGCCCCACAGACTACTTTAAAAAATAGTAGTATAAATAGTGGACACTAGTGTATTTGAGTTAAGTTACTAACTGCAGTTGTCTAGCCTGCAATCAACTGGCCAGTTGAGATCTATACTCTAAATACTCTGTCTTCTTCTAAGAGGTGCTGTAGAAATTCAGAAGAGGGAAAGATCACAGTAAGATGGGGTGAGGGTTCTGAAATTGATACTTGAATTATGTCTTAAAGGAATCTTCAGCAGCAAACAAATGAATGGGAAGTCTAGGCAGAACGATATGAACAGGTTTGATCAAATCACTTTGCTGCTTAGAAACTTCCTAGATCCCTGTAGAGCTCTGTTCCATTAGCTTCATTATTTGGCTCTTACCTACCTCCCTGGTCTTGTCTTCCACCCTTTTACACTACTATCTGGGATTGTTTTGCTTCTTTCTGAAGTACATCCTTTAGTGTTCATTTAGTGAAGGTCTGTTAGTATGAACTTTTTCAATTTTTGTGTAGCTGGAAATGACTATTTTGTTCTCATTCTTTTTTTTAAATACATTTTTGAGTTTATTTTTGTATATGGTGTAAGAAAGTGGTCCAGTTTCCCAACACCATTTATTGAAGAGATTGTCTTTTCCCCATTATATATTCTTGGCTCCTTTGTCATAGATTGACTACATAAGTGTAGTCAAAAAAGGATTATTTCTGGGCTCTCTATTCTGTTCCATTGATCTATGTGTCTGTTTTTGTGCCAGTACCATACTGTTTTGATGACTGTAGCTTAGTAGTATAGTTTGAGATCAGAGTGTGTGATACCTCCAACTTTGGTTTCCTTTTTCAAGATTGCTTTGGCTATTTGGCGTCTTTTATGGTTCCAGATAAATTTTAAAATTGTTTGTTCTAGTTCAATGAAAAATGCCATTGGTATTTTGATAGAAATTGCACTGAATCTGTAGCTTACTTTGGGTAATGTAGACATTTTAACAATATTAATCCTTCCAATCCATGAGCATAGTATATCCTTACATTTATTTGTGTTGTCTTCAGTTTCCTTCATCAAAATCTTATAATTTTATGAGTTCAGTCTTTTACTTCCTAAATTAAATTTATTTCTACACATTTTATTCTTTTTGATACAATTGTTTTCTTAATTTCTGTTTCTGATAGTTTGTCATTAGTAAAGTCTTAAATGTAAGATCTAAAACCATAAAACTCCTAGAGGAAAACATAGGCAGTAAACCCTTTTTATATTTGTCTTAGCAATATATTTTTTAATAGGTCTCCCTGGGCAAGGGCAACAAAAGCAAAAATAAACAAATGAGGCTATGTCAAACTTAAAAAGCTTTTGCACAATGAAGGGAACTGTTAACAAAACGAAAAGACAACCTACTGAATAGGAGAAGATATTTGCAAATGGTATCTCTGATGATACTCCCATTACCAAAAGGGGGTAATATCCAAAAGAGCTCATACAAGTCAACATGAAAAAAACCAAACAATCCAATTTAAAAATGGGCAGAGGGACTGCAGTAGACATTTCTCCAAAGTAGATACACAGATGACCAATAGACAAATGAAAAGATACCCTGAGTCACTAATCATCAGGGAAATGCACAATGAGATATCACCTCATACCACCTGTCAGAATGGCTATTATCAAAAAGTCAACAAATAAATGTTGGCAAGGATGTGGAGAAAGGGAACCCTTGTGCACTGTTGGTGGGATTGCAAATTGTTGCGCCACTATGAAAAACAATATCGAGGTTCCTCAATATGTTAAAATAGAACTATCATACGACCCAGCAATTCCACTTCTGCATATTCACCCAAAGAAAATAAAAACACTAGTTTGAAAAGACATATGTATTTCTATGTTCATTGCAGCGTTATTTACAATAGCCAAGATACAGAAGCATCCTAGTCTATTGATAGGTGAATGAATAAAAAGGATGTGGTATACATATAACAGAATATTACTCAAAAAGAATAAAAATGATACATGTAAGTGTATATGATAAGTAAGCAGTAGTGGAGTTTGAAGTTTCAGGGAGAGTTTTTTAGTGGAAGGTTCAGCTGGGAAAGTGTGGAGTGGCGTGTGCCAGCAACTTATCTTTTGGGCATTGTGACTTCTTGTTCTTCCCGAGTTATACTGGTCACTTGGGTACTGCCCTACTTCTCCAGAGGCAAGATTTGTATGTTGATTGGGCTATTTCCCAAATAGTCACTTCTCAAGAGTTTTAAAGGCTCTCCAGTTCTTTGTAATCATTGCCTCTAAGCTTGTAATACCCCAGAACCATTCCAATTTTTTGCAGATTTGGGGTTGTGGCTCTCTCAGTCTGATTCAGTGTATTTTCTTTCAGGGACTCCTTAACATTTCTTGTCTGTTCATGGTGTTCTTATTTGTTTTCTAGTCCTTTATGGCTTTAATAAATATCTTTTCTATTATTTTCAAGGATTTAGAGTAGAAATGGTGAGGTAGTGTGTGTGCTTAGTTTGCAGTTTTCATCCAGTCTTTTTGTTTATAATAAAAATAATGTTTATGGAAAAAACATAGTGATAAAAATAATATTCATGTTTGCATAGTGACTACTTTGGTTTTTTCTTTCACTTTTTCCCCCCAAAATATTAAAATAAATTTATCTATATGTCTGTCATCTATCTATCTTACATAGCAATATTTTCTCATGTAATAATAAGCTGAATAATTGGGATTTCACTTTCTAAGAACATTTTCTGGGACCCACTCTTTGGTGACTCTTATCTGACCTTTCTGCACTCACAGTAAATATAATTATTCAACCATTTAGTCTATTGCTTTGGCATGACTAGAAGGCCGAGTAAGGACATGTAGGCTGGACAAAAGATCTGTTACCCTTGCTCAAGGTACGTCCTGGTGTAGGGCAGGGATAGTCATCTCCCCATGAGTATTAGAGACAGTGTCTTATTTCTTTTTTTGTGATTATTTTATTGTCAGTTGAAACAATTAAATTCTTTTATTTTTTTCTCTCATCTATAGTTCACTTAGCAGCCATGGAAGGCCACCTTTACTGTTTTAAATTTCTACTCACTAGAATGAGCAGTGCAACACAAGCTTTAAAAACCTTCAATGATAATGGAGAAAATGTACTGGACTTGGCCCAGAGGTTCTTTAAGCAGAACATTTTACAGTTTATCCAGGGGGCTGAGTATGAAAGAAATGATCCAGAAGATCAGGAAAGTAAGTAATAAACCTGAAATGTTCTATCATTTAATAATGTAGACTAAATGGAAAAGGGAAAGAAAGAAGTTACGTTAAATGTTATATTAAAATATGTTCCTTATCATTGTCCATATATTCATTCAGATTTTCTTCTTTATTATGAAATATTTTAGGCAGAAATATATAGAGAGATTATAACACAATGAACAATCTTTATATCACTGTATTTTAGAATAAAATATTATAGATACAGTTGAAGCTTTTGGATCTTTTCCCCTAATACTATCCATTCTCTTTTCTTCCTTCTATTGTCTTGGATTTACAATTCCATTCTGTGGCTTTATATTGAGTATATATGTACTCACAAAAATATGCAGTATTGTTTTTGTGTACTTTTAGAGTACGAGACTGAACTGCTATAAGTAAGAAATCCTAAAATTCAGTTCCTTAAATGATATAGAAGTTTATTTCTTTTATGTGACAGCTTGGGCTGAGGAGTGAATCTGTTCCATTTAGTCATTCAGGGACCTGCTATCTGCCCAACTAACTCTCTGTAGTTGTTGCTAATCCAGCAGGAGGAGGGGAGGGAACTAGAGATTTTCAAGGTCTAATTTGCACTCACCACTTCTGCTACCATTCCATTGACAAGAGTGTAGTGATGTGGCAATGCTTAGCTGTGAGGAAGCCTGGAGAATTCAGTACTGAGCTGAGAAGCCTCCTCTCAGCTGCAACTCTTAACTACTGAAGGAAGGGGACTGTAATAGACAACTAGCAGTCTTTGAAACTTCTAAAACTTTACAAAACTGCCGCAAAAGAGTATATGTATCCTTCTATGACTTAACCTCCTATGACTCATGTTTTTGAGATTGATAGGTTGCTAGATGTATCTTAGTTTATTCTTCTTAAGTGTTTGTGTAGTATTACATTGTATACTGACCATTATTTACCCATTCTCCAATTTGCCACTTACATTGTTCACAGTTTGTCACTATTGCAATCAATGTGGTAGTGGAGATTCTTGTGCATGTCTCCTTATTTACATGTATAAGAGATTTCTTTAGAGAAGTACCTTCCTCCCCTTTTCACACATAAAATGGTAATTGTATGGCACAGAAAATGGTAATTGTATGGCACACTGGGATCGTTGGGTGAGGCTTCTTGAGGTACTGCCTAGCTTCTCTGAAGACTGAGAGCTAAGAGCTCTGCCCTGGCAAATACCTGAGAAATTCTACTTTAGGTTTCGCTTGATGGGATATGCCTGTCTTCAGTATAAATAGGTCTTGCTGCATCCTCCATCAAAGTGGTTCTAGAAATTTACAGTCTCATCAGCTATGTTTACTGAGAAGTTAAAGAAACAATATTCAGTATCGTCAGACCTAAACATTTTTGCCAATTGGTTGGGTATGAAAAGGTTTAATTTGTGTTTTGATTTGCATTTTCTTGATTACTAATGAGGTTGAACATCCTTTTGTAAAGTTATTGGCTATTTTAGTTTTCTATGAATCGCCCACCTATACCTTTCTGAACCCCTTTTTAAAAATTGTGTTCTTTGTCCTTTTCTAAATAATTGGAGTTCTTCCTATAGACTCAATACCAATTCTTTATTAATTTTATCTGATACAGATATTTTATCTCACACTGTGGCTTGTTTTTTTACTTTGATGATATCCTTTTATAAAAAAATCAACTTTATTAAAGTATGATTTATATACAATAAACTGTTCATTTAAAGTATGCAACTCAATGAGTTTTGACATATGTGTATACACTCATGAAACCACCACCACGATTAAGTTAGAAAACATTTCCATCACCTCAAGGGTTTTTTCATACCCCCTTGAAGTTTACCCCTCCTTGGCCCCACACAACTACTGATTTGCTTTCTGTCACTATAGATTAGTTTGAATTTTCTGATGGAACTGTTTTGAGTTTCATCTGTGTTATGTATATTAGTAGTTCATTCCTTTTAATTGCTGCTGAATAGTATTCACTGTATGAATGTACCATATTTTGTTTATCAGTTCACCTGCTGATGAGCTTTTAGATTGTTTCCAATTTGGGGCTATTATTAATAAAGCGGCTCTGAACATTTACATACACTATGTTTGCATTTCTCTTGGTAAATACATAGGACGTTTGGTAGGTGTATATTTGTTTATGGTAGGTATATGTTTGTTTACCTTTAAGAAATTGTCAAAAGTAGCTTTTTTTCCAAAGTAGTTCCTTCACTTTACATCCCCACCAGATATGTATGAGAATTCTATTTATTTGTTCCATGAAAATACCAACACTTGATATGGTCAGTCTGTTTTATTTTGGGCACCCTAATGGATGTGTAATGTTATATTATTGTGGTTTTAATCTACATTTTCCTGATAACTGATGATATTGAGCATCTTTTCAGATGGACATTCATATATCTTCTTTTATGGTGTGTCGGTTCAGTTCTTTTGTCCATTTTTTGATTGGGTTGTTTGTCTACTAATTATTGAATTTTGACAGTTCTTTATGTCTTGTCAGATATACATGTTGTAAGTATTTTCTCCCATTTTGAAGCTGCTAGTCTTTTTTTTTTTTTTAAGATTTCAATGGGGAATTGGGGAAGTTGGAACAGCCAAGTTGTTGTCCTTCAGTCTTACTTGTGGAGGGTGCAGCTAGCTCAGCTCCAAGTCCAGTCACCATCTGGCTGCCCTTTGGCAGCTCGCAGCCACTCAGCTCAAGGTGCTGTGTTCAATCTTAGTTGTGGGTGGGTGTAGCCCACCATCCCATGCTGGAGTCAAACCAGCAAACTTGTTACAAGCACATGCTCTCACCAGCTGAGCCATTCTGCTACCTGTTGGCAGCTCAGCGGTAACTCAGCTCAGGTGCAGCTCACTGGCCCATGTGGGAATCATACTGGTGACCCTGTTGCTCAGAGTTTGCGCTCTTAACCAACTGAGCCACTTGGCTGGCCCTAGCCTGTTTTCTTAGTAGTATTTCTCAAAGAGCAAAAGTTTTAAATTTTGATAAAGTACAATTTATCAGTTTTTTTACATGTCATATTTTTTGTGTCCTATCTATGAAATATTTGCCCACCCCAAGGTCAGCAAGATATTTTTATGTTTTCTATAAGGTTTTTTTTTTTTTTTTTTTTTTTTTTTTGTTTTGTTTAATTAAAGTTTATTGGGGTGACAATTGTTGGCAAAGTTACATAAGTTTCAGCTCGGGCTGACTCGAACCGCTGTTGCTCAGAGCTCAAACTCTTGAGCGAGCTCTTAACCAACTGAGCCACTCAGCCGGCCCTCTATAAGTTTTATAGTTTTAGCTTTTTAATTCATATCTTTGATCTACATCAGGTTAATTTTGTGAATTGAGTGAAATAAAGTGTTGATTAATTTTTGTTGTTGTTAATATATAGCCAGTTGGCCTAGTACTTTTTTTTTTGAAATCCTTCCTTTTCTCTTTGAAATATCTTGACAGCTTTGTCAAAAATCAGTCACACACACACACACACACACACACATATAT